TAAAATTTCAGGTCATTTTGGGGCTCTTGGGTGGCTCAGTCAGTTAAGTATCCAACTTTGGCTCAGGTCATGATGTGGTTCATGAGTTCAAGCCCCACATCAGGCTCTCTGCTGTCAGCACAGAGCTTTTGCTCTCGTTCTCTCTCTCTCTCTCTCAAAAATAAACATTAAAAAAAATTTAGAAAGGCCTAGAACCATGTTTCCTGATATGACATTTTCTCTATCTTTTTTCCCAGCCCCTCTGCGATAATTATTTTATATTTGTTGAATGTGTACGTTCATCTTTTCTTCCACCTTAGTATCTCATGGGATGGATTTCAAGAAACTCCCCTTACCCCTAAGGGTCAGATTCAATCTACCCCCAAGCTCATGCAGGTGTCTGGGAATGACTGCGGTCTTCTGGGGAGTGACAGATGTGACAGCCCAGGCTGCCGAGTAGGATCCCTGAGGATCCCTGAGGGGCTTGTGCTGAACCCTAGCACCATTCTTAGGGAATAGACCATTCCATATAACGCTTTTCCTCCAGGCTGGGTAAATCAGGAAACCTACATTCTAGTCCTGTGGAGTCACTAGCCAGCTGTGTGAATTACCCACGCCTGAGAGCTGACTTTTCAGCATCCGTAAATGAGTCCGTGCTTCCCAATATGTGCTCTGTAAACTATGACTCCCACAAGATAGTCCAAAAAAGTGGGTTGGTTTTTTGTTTTGTTTTGTTTTGTTTTGTTGAGAAACTGCATAATTTATTTTCCCCTTCAAGATTCAGAATGTCTATTTGCATAATAAATGTTCTAGAAGCTCTGCTATAGAGACATCTGTTTAAAATCATCTGAACCAGAGCTTCCCAAGTTTCTTTGACCCTGAGGCCCCCTTTTCACACAATACCTATTCACATGTCACAGAATTAGAACGCAGAATAATTGCTGGCTCACGTGACCCCTGAGGTTCCTTCCAGTCCAAAAGCCTGTGATCCTGGCAAGATAACCAGGGCAAGACTTCCAGAGCAGTGCCTCTTTCCCGGCATCATGGACAAGTTTTATCTGTTTGCTTTCTGCCTGGGTAGCATCAGGCCCTGCAGAGCACATATATCCCCCAGGGAGCAGTCTCCAAAGCCAGCACACCCCTGGGGTGTTTAAGATGGTCCGCTGGGACACAGAAGATAGAAATTGTAACTCTTACTGACAGTTTTTATCTAAAAATAAGGAAGCAATCATTTTACTTTAGTATATATGTTTATAACAGTACGTGTATATAATTTATAAGTAAATATACATATAGGTACAATTTCAAAAAATTGTCAGCGATAGCAGTGCCTAATTAAAAATAAAAACCAGTGACCTAGAAACTGTGTCTCAAGATATTATTTTATATTCATAATCACTAGTTCACACAATGCTTAGTAGAATGGAAAACAGGTGTAGCATCTCACATGTGGTGTTTATATCTTAGCTGCTTGCTCTTTTCTTCTGAATAGTCATGTCTACATCAGGCCTGGAGTATCATTTTTTGTACATCAGTTCAAACAAACTTAATAGGGAACTTTGATTTGTAATGTAATGATTTTGATTGCCTCACCAGTATCTTGGAAATGTTTCCATTACATCGTGAAATGGCAATTCCTGTTGTCCACACATGTATTCCTGATAACCTAGCAAATTTCAAATACCTTTTGAAGATTCAACACAGTGAAATGAAACCCGATACTATTTTAAAGTTGTTCCCAAATACTTTTTTTTTTTAATGTTTATTTATTTAGTTTGAAAGAGAAAGAGCACAAGCGGGGGAGGGCTAAAGAGAAGGGGAGACAGAATCCCAAGCAGGCTCTGCACCATCAGCACAGAGCCCAGTGTGGAGCTTGAACCCATGAACTGTGAGATCATGACCGTGCCAAGATCAAGAGTTGGACACTTAACCGGCTGCACCCTTCCAGGTGCCCCCCAAATAATTTAAAGGGGACAACTTCCATTTACAATGTTTTCTTAGTAGTTCAAACTAAATTCCTATATACAGGCCCCCCTCCAAAGTACTTGAGTGCAATCACTCAGCAGGCCACCTATGGTCCCTACAGGATGTAATCCTGAGAAACAAAGCAGCACGATTGGAGAAGTACAGGATATTTGACCCACAAAATCTTCAACTACCTGCCTTAAGTCAAAATGCTTGGGCAGAACACAGATACTAGAAGAAAATGCTCAACCCAGTCTAGCTTTGCTCTCTCGTGGCTTGTGACACTATAGTATATTTGTACCCCGAGAGAGGCTGTTTTCAGTGAGGTGGTGGCCCTGTCTACCTCCGGCTGGAAATAGATTAATAGAAACGAGGTAACCCCTGGCCCTCCTGGGAGCCATCCCACTATGCTGCTGCTGCTGCAAGTGACCTCCCTCCCCCCTCTCCCCCCCACGACTTTACCTTGGCTTGGGCAGTTCCAGCTGCCCTGTCCATCTCCTCCTCTTGGGCTTTCTGCTCTCCACAAGAGCCGCCAGGCAAAACAAGAACAAAATGAGTCTTGTGAAATAAGGCATTCTGTGACTGTCTATGATACCAGAAGCTGCTCGCCAGTAACCTGCAGCGGGGCAGACCCCCCTGGGCTGAACCATTGATTCAGTCTGTCGCTTTGTGATGGTACTTCTTCAAGGGGCTGCGAGGGCATGACTGGCCAGACTGATTTTTCCGATTCAGTATTTGATAGTGAAGCTTGACCCACCCCACCTCCCACCCCTCAGGCGTGACACAAACACCAAGGCTTTGCCCTCCCTGCTGCCTAATGATTGGCCATTAGTCAACAAGTTTGTCCTCCTGTGAAATTCTGCTGCCGCTGAGTCCGAGAGCAGCTTTGGCTAAAACTGTTACGTAAAAAATGTTTTAAACCTCTTGAATATGCCAGCTCTTTGCTGAGATCATTAATCCTTCCCTCTAGCTGCATAAAACCAGTCTGTCACATCCACCAGGGAGACAGCTTGGATTCTGAGTGGATTTGCAGGAAAGACCTGATGGACAAGATGAGTGCATGAATGTGCTTAGGAAATGCTGAGTAAACACACAAATGACCTGTTTTCACAAGGTTGCTTTATTTCTCCATCTGAGAAATCATGCTTTGTCTATGGCCACGGATGCTTGCTTTCCTCCCACATACACATCTTTTTTTCAGTGAAAAGACATTTGATTTTGAAGGAACCCGTACACCAAAGGGGAATTCATGATTATGTAAGCTCTTCCTCCGATCACGAGCATCAGATTAATTTTGGTCTTCAATCCTAAAATGTATAATTTCATCATAAATTAGGCTTGAATCCTATCCTGGGATATGGAATTATGAACACTAGGAGTATAAAGATGTATGTGGTTATATTTAATCTACTGAAAGGAATAAAATGCTTAAAGACTACTTATTGCTTGGCTGCTGTGTTCAAGATGGAGAAGAGTTTAGTGTGGTAGAGACGTAGGGAGATGAGGTTGGAGGTCAGGAAGAACAGTAGCCAGAACTGAAACAGAATTAGGGTTTTATCATGTAAGAAGGAATCAAAAGAAGTTCTTTTGATTCTCTAAGCAAAGTGGGGTGACATGATCCACTTTATTTTTTTAAGGAATTCCTAACTGGGATCAGTTGGATGGGAGAAGCTGTAATAACAAAGGAGGGTGAGGTCTTGCCCTAATGGAAGGGAAGATGAAAGAAGAGGAGGGAAGAGGACAGAAGAATGAGATGGTCAAGTTATTTCTGACGTAGAATACATTTGCTGACTGAACAGAATGGGAGGTGATAGAAGTCAACAGTGTTATCTACAATTCTAGTTTGGAGGTAGGGCTGGTGGATGGTGGTACCACCATTAACCGATATCCACTAGAGGTAGACAAATTTGGGGGAGAGGACATAGATTTTTGACTTGTGGAGTGTGAGGTATCATGGGACTTCCAGATGCCCGATAGGCAGCTGGAGTATAGAGAAGCCTGGAGCTCAGGAGAAAGGTCTGGACTGGAGAAATAGATTTGGAGCCTTCAGCGTATGGTGGTAGTTTAACCACAAGAAAGGGTGAGATCTTCCAGGAAAATAGAAGTCCCAGTGTAAGTGTAGAACCTTGAGAATCTATATATATATACTTTTTTAAGATTTTATTTTAAGTACTCTCTATAGCCAATGTGGGGCTCCAACCCACAACCCCAAGATCAAGAGTTGCATGTCCTACCGATTGAGCCAGCCAGGTGCACTGGAACCTATACTTCGAATGGATGGATGGGAAGCCCAAACAAAAGCATAGAGGGTGACTATGAAAACCAAAGGAGTTTCTGGTTTGAGTGATGTGAGGAAGTGAAGGCAGAAAACAGCTTCAGCTGGATCTCCAAACTTCAATTAACTGTAGTTTCAGTTCAAAGATGTGGCAGGAAGCCAAATTACAGGAATTAAACAGGAATTTGGGAGTGGGAATAATTCAGTATGGGGACTAATTCAGTGATTCCCAAATCTGGCCACTTCTCAGAATTATCCAGGTAATTTGTTTAAAAAGTCACATTGCTCCTGAAGATTTAGTGGGAAAGGGATGAGACCCATTAAAGTTCTTTTCTGTAGATTTTGTTCGAAAGATCACTCTTTTCCTCTCTTCCATTTGAAACAGGCCTATAAAAGGACTGGCTGGAACCCTAGAATTGTTCATAGATATTGTTGGTTTTCAAGAAATATTTGTTTTGTTTTGGATACATTTGAATACAATGTTAGGTCCTATCATTTTTTTTTAATCTTTCTTATTTTCAGTAGTTCAATTATTGTGATCACAGTATGGAGAAAAACTCAGTTGGAGAGAAGTGTAACTTTTTAAATAATGGCTTTACTGAAATATCATTCACATGTCATGAATTTACCTCTTAAAACTGTGGTTTTTTAGTATGTTCAGAGTTGTGCAACCATCACCACTATCTAATTTTAGAACATTTTCATCTCCTCCAAAACAAACCTCATACCTCCTCCTTCCCTTCACTTCCCTTCAGCCCTTGGCAATCACCAATCTACTTTCTGTCTCTGTGGATTTGCCTAATCTGAACATTTCATATAAATGTAATTATACAATATGTAGCCTTGTGTGTCTGGCTTCACTCAGCATGTTGTCTTCTTTCTTCCTTTTTCTTTCTCTTCTTCTCTCCTTCCTTCCTTCCTCTTTCCCTTCCATTCTTCCTTTCTTGCATGATGTTTTCAAGATTCATCCATGTTGCAGTATGTATTATAACTTCATTCCTCTTTATTGCCAAATAACATTCCATTGTAGAGACAGAACACATCTTGTTTATCCATTCTTCAGTCAATGGGCTTTTGGATTTCCAGTTTGGGGCTACTAACAATAATGCTATGAATATTTATGTACAAGTTTGTGTGAACATGTTTTTATTTCTCTTGGCAATATACCTGGGAGTGGAATGGCTGGGTCATATGGTAACTCTGCTTAACTTTTGAGGAACTACAAGTTTTTCAAAGGGGCTGCCCCATTTTGCACTCCCACGAGCAATGGAAAAGAACTCCAATTTCTCCAATTCCTCACTTTTTTACTCTAGCCATCATAGTGGGTGTGAAGCAGCTTACTGTACTTTTGATGTGCATTTCCCTCATGACTGATGTTGAGCATCTTTCCATGTTTATTGGTCATTTGTGTATCTTCTTTGTACAAATGTCTATTCAAATCTTTTGCCATTTCTCAATCAGGTTATTTCTTTTTTATTATTATTGAGTTATATGAGTTCTCTAGATATTCTAGATGCAAGTCTCTTATCAGATATATTATCTGCAAATATTTTCTCCCATTCAATGTTATCTTTTCGCTTTTAAGTTTATCTGTTTTGAGAGAGAGAGAGTACGTGCAAGCAGGACAGGGAAAGAAAGGGAGAGAGAGAATCCCAAGCAGGCTCCGTGCTGTCTGTGCAGAGCCGGATGTGGGTCTCAGTCCCACAAACCACGAGATTGTAACCTGAGCTGAAATCAAGAGTTGGATGCCTAACCAACTGAGCCACCAAGTACTCCTTTCTTTTCACGTTATTAATGATGTTCTTTGAAACACAAAAAGTTTATTTTGATGAAATCTTTTTTTCTTTGGTTGCTTGTGATTTTGGTCTTGTATCTAAAGAAACCACTGCCTCACCCATGTCATGAAGATTTAGTATGTTTTACTTTAATAATCTTAACAGTTTTTGCTCTTAATGCTAAGGTCTTAGGTCCATTTTAAGTTATATATATGGTGTAAGACAGGGGATGTGTAACTTTAACATTTGCTCAGTTCTCTCAGGAAACAGGACTGGCCCCAGTGCTCACGCTCAGAGCTGTGGAAAGGCCCCAGTAAGCTGTCAGATTAGGCCAGAGAGCACAGTGGGACTCTGGTTACACACAGCCTTATGACCTACATTGAGGCTGTGGGCTTAAAAGACAGAATGAGATCTGTGCACTGAAGAAGACACTGGCTGCAGTGTGAGGAATGGGGTAAGACTGGAGACTTGTTAGAGGTTACTGCACTAATTCAGAGGAGAGTAAGGCTCATTAGGGTAATGGCAGTGAGCACGAAGTGGTAAGATGGGAAAAAATATTTAAGGAGGTAGAATGGCCAGAAGGCCGAATAACATAAAGAATACCACCTTTGGTCAAAACACGGTATGAATAAAGTCACTGGTTTTATTGAGCAGCTCAAACTAGTTCTGAAGGCAACTGTTCAAGAGGTGTTCCAAACAGCTTCTGAGCAAGGTACAAGCCTCCCACAAAGGCTTAAACAGTACACATGTTAATGTACACATTAGTCTTTGTTAAGAGGCAGGTTCACTAAATGCATTCGCTTTTCATATACTTACTTGCAAATGATGGAACAATACAGGTTTTTCAGTACTTCAGCCTAGGTTTCTGCCCAAGTAAGTCCAAATGTGTGAGATTTGTTTACAGATTCTGGTCTATAAAAATGGGAGGTCTCAAGATACCAGAAAGTTTATTCATAGCCAAAAATAACAAAAAGATTTCTTATTCTCCTGAAATAGGAACTATTATATTTCCATAGTCAAAATGATAAACAACTTTAAAGGTTTTTTTAAAAAAATTAGGTGAGAATTTTGATGAAATTCATTTATTTCAGTGGAACAAAACAATAAGCAGCATGAAAATGTAAAGTGCTACATAAAAGCCCCACAATACATAAAATTTGAAAGGTTTCATTGGCTTAAACAGTTACAGGTGATACAGACATTATATATTTTTTTGACATGCTATTTTAACTACCTTGATATGTAGTCATGTGCTTTTTTGGTCAAAGAAAAAGCCATGAATTACCTAAACATGAGGACTGGGGGAAGGAGTCCTAAACCTTCACCAACCAGATACATATCTGGTTTTGTCCCGACACTCTAATTAAAGGGATAAGGTGGGGCTTTAAAAACAACTGTTTTCTGAAGAGTCTCTTCAAGTGGCATTTGAGTAAGAATAGCTCCAAAGATCAATTTTGCTCATCAACTCCACGATGGGGAGCAGATTCACAACTTAAGGATTTTTAAGTAGCATATGTGAGCTGAAAGGGAAGGAGCAAAAAATATGCCACTTTTCAGATATGTGTATCAGATGCTTAAAACATCCCAATACAAACAAGAAGGTGACCTATCAGTTGACAGGTGAGGGAGGAGAGGCAAATCAGATAGAGAAGGATCTGCGCAATTCAAAATCTTCTTGGCTTAATCAATCTTAAAGTATAGGTACACTCCGTTGGAAACATGCAACAGGATCACGTAGATCCAGAGGTTGGCTCAAGTTTCACTGAGAAGAAGCGGAGGGAAGATTGTTCCTAGCACACGGTTCATCTACAATCAAAGGCTGAAAGCAGGGGGACTTTCTTCTTCTCAGGTGATAAGGTCATCTGGTCTTCCCAAGGGTCAGTGACTTCTTGCTAGGAGACCACTGAACTACTTCTAGTATTTTGTGTTCCAAACCAAGACTTCAGAATGTGCTTTCCCATGGCAATAAAGTTATAAAATGGTAACCTTTAATTTTCCTGACATATGACGTCTTCATAAAGTCCTTGAGCTTTTTAAAACTTTACTAACTTTGGCTGTAGATATAACAGAAACAATCTGTAAACACTTTTAAAATGCTAATTTATTAATCCTTAGACAATTATGTATTGTATAATAGTATACAGTATGTTTATTTTAGATGTGGACATAAAGGAAAATGGCTAGCAGATGAAAATAGAAATTTTGTCTAATAATTAACAGACCCAAAGTCCATAGCAGCAATAAAAATTAAATTTCCCTTTAATAGCATTTTGCAAATTGTTTCTATCTTGCCCATAATTTCAGTTAGTTAAAACTACACTAAGGACTTTATGAACACCACCCTCCAAAGTATTGAAGATACATTATGGACAAACTTTTGTGGACTTTCTAGAACCTGAACACCACTTACAACATTGAGTTGTTAAAAAAAACTCACAAATGCACCCTTAGAACATAACCTATTTGAGAGCTGGGGACTGCCTATATTTAAAAACTACATCTTCATTAACAAGTACTCTTAAGAGTGCCCTCAACGCTGTTACCAAACATGCTGAAGGCAATGCTTTTCTGTGATTCTATGTTCTCATCAGGCATTATGATGATAAAATTATCTACTAGAATCTGTGAAGTTAGCTAGCACTAAGTTATATATTGATTTTGCACTGACAATTATTTCTTGGGTTTTGATTAGGTGGACAATTCTAAGTAAAGGTTTTTCTCATTTCTATCACTGTTACTTGGGCCCTGAGCTTTTCTATTGAAACGGTACATAAAATATTTCAACATTATGCATATTCCTGGAATAATTACATTTATAGTGATTACAAAGCTAGACATGTAATACCTTCAAAAGATATACAATTCAAAGCAGAGCAAACATTAAAATCTGAAGATCCTTCCACTTGACTTCTGGAAGAAAATCAACTGATTTCTGGCTTGGACCCTTCCTTCCTTAAAAAAAAAAATCTATGGAGGGTTGTTTCCTTTTTTATTTTTAAATCTTGTGTATATTTGGGAGAGAATGGGATAACAGCATATCAAAGTGGTTTCAAAGCATCCTTTCCTCTTCAAATAACATCCAGGAACAAAGATGTAATCTCATTTCCTCATAACTATTTGACTGAAATTGTTACTTTCACTGAACAACATTTAGGACACAAAGTCAGTCACACAATGGGCAATTCCAGTGCATCTTCTATGAATGACATTCTCAGCAAACTATTTGAAGAGCTCTACTTTCCCTTTTCAACTCTTATCCCTGTTATCATTCTACCTAAGTAGAAATAGAGTACTCAATAAATGGTACTGAGTAACTAGTAATACTCACTGGAACTTAAAACACCATCTTTTATCCAAAAATGTCAAAGGGCTATACAGAAAAGTATCACAAATTTACAAAAAAGAAGCCGAGGCATGAGAAACAACAATAAGTTATTTCCCTGTAAAGCAGGTCATATGGTGAGACAAGGGGCTGTGACTTCAGTCCCTTGAACTAAGCAGGATACAGTCTGAAAGTCTAGCTATATTTATACTGAATTTATAAGGATCAAAAAAGGAATGAAGGGTAAATACAAAATAATCTTTTTGTAAACAATTCTTAGATTATACCCAATGCAGAATGTTTAATGAAGCAGCAGAGTCACAGCTCTTAAGACACAAAACAGTATTATAACTCAAAGTCAAATATGTACTCATTGGCCAGATATATTCGTCTGAATATAAGAGCTGCCAATGCCAAAGTCAAGATGACAATCAGGACAGCGGATCCACCATGATCAGTGTGGTTGTCTCTTGGCTGCTGGCCCTGGATCACATCTGGGGAAGCAGACGACCGTCTTTGACTCTGCTGCTGGGCTCGGCGTTGTCGAGGGCTCATGGAGGTATTCTTAGCTACAGGTTGAGCAGGTTGTTGAAGGGATGCTGCTGAGGGGTTCTGGGCTCCGTACTAGAAAATTTTAGGGAGTTTTGTTTGAAACTGGTGAAGAAAACTTGTATATATATCTATTGTCCATTCAAGAGTATACAGAATCTCAGAGCACTAAAATACAACTAAAGGCAAAACTACCAAGCTGAATGCTGGGACTAATTACTCACCCTCCTGAATAAGCCAACACCACAACTTATTCTGAGTACTCACCAGGTGGAGGAAAAATTTATTAGCAACAAATAAGACGAGGATAGAGTTTAGCCATTGAAGGCCTTCTACTCTCTTTCAGGTGGTAACTCCAGCAATATCTGTTAAGCATCTGGACACCTCACTTCTTGTAGGAGAGCCAAGGAAGAAAGCAATGTGATTTCTTTTCTGCTAGAAAATCTGCCATCCTAAATGGCAAAAAAAAGTTTAACTCCTAACAGTGTGCCTTTCATGAACCAGGTCTCTTCCAACATGATCTTACTATATCAGCATGCTTCCACCAACAATCACGGAGCATAGAGCATAATTTCAAACCGTGCATTCTTCGCAGCAGTACTGTTGTAAAAATCAGATGTAGTTTTCAAACCAGGCTTATCCTTCCTCATAACTCCTGTCACCTGAACACAAGTCTAGAAGAACCCTTCACTGTGTGTTTGAATTGTGTTACTTTATGTATGTAAAGCATACTTAGGCATACTAGTTACCCCCACAAAGCACAAGGTATCAACTGCTTTCTCTCCTTTCAATGACTGCCTAGGCGGTCAAGCATAACCATAATGTGGTACCAAGCGATTCAAAATCTTGAATAATAGTTTATAGATAAGAAAGCTCTATAAAATATGAATTCTATTTATATAGACACCTTAACTCTTTTATTTTATTTTTTTTAACATTTATTCATTTTTGAGAGTGAAAGAGAGCATGAGCAGGGGAGGCACAGAGAAAGAGGGAGACACAGAATCTGAAGCAGGCTCCTGGCTCTGAGCTGTCAGCACAGAGCCTGACGCGGGGCTCAAACCCACAAGCTGTGAGATCATGACCTGAGCCAAAGTCGGATGCTCAACCAACTGAGCCACCTAGGCACCCCTAGATACCTTAACTCTTAATAACCCAATGGCCTTTAATTCTTTTACTGAAAACAACTTTATACTGGTTCTATTTGTGCCAACACCCTTTCAAATAAAAAATAAGAATGCATGTTTTATTCAGAATAACTATGAAAACTGAGTAAATATAAAACATTAAAGTACTTTCCATCAGAGAAAATTTCAATATTGAGTAGGAAAAATAATCAAATAATATAATTCAAATACTTTCTTTAAAAGATAAGAGGATGGGCTTTGCCCTGGCAATAGCTATAAACATTAGGGAAGAAACTGCTGATCTGAGTTACCTACAGAAGAAATTACATTTTAAATCTGACATTCATTTCAGCATTAAAAGGTTTAAATCGGGGCGCCTGGGTGGCTCAGTTGGTTAAGCGTCCGACTTCAGCTCAGGTCATGATCTCATGATTCGTGAGTTTGAGCCCCCCGTTGGGCTCTGTGCTAACAGCTCAGAGCCTAGAGTCTGCTTCAGATTCTGTGTCCCTCTATCTCTCTCTCTTTGCCCCAACCCCGCTCACACTCTGTCTCTCTCTCTCTCTCAACAATAAATAAACATTAAAAAAATTTTAAAAAGAGGTTTAAATCATCTGAGTTTCTTAAAACTATCCTTTGGAAGCACTCATACGTAACGACCCATAACACAGAAGTAGAAAAGGAACTACTGACTTTTGAGTTAAAAATATAAAAGTTAGTGCTGATACTGAATTAGAGCTGCACAAACTTGGACTTCAAACTCCAGGACTCCCAGCAACAATACACTCATTGAAGAGAAGAGATCCACAAAGTGACAGCATTTTATGAGGTCTGACATTGTCACAGGCATCCTATTATATCTTAATAAATACTCATTGGGTTGAACTGAGTTACAGCAGCCAATACAGTAACATTCCATTTAAACTCTCCCATTCTTCCAACTACTCAGCCAAGAAGTTAAAAGTGTCTGATGCAGCAAAAGTGCTCAAGGCTTGCAGGGAAAGCTCTTAAGGAAAATAAAAAATATGAAGTTGCTATCAATCCAGAAACTAGCACAAGAGATTGGTTCAGTTTAAAGCTTTTCTTTTCTTTATTTGAAATTTTTTTTTTCAACGTTTATTTATTTTTGGGACAGAGAAAGACAGAGCATGAACGGGGAAGGGGCAGAGAGAGAGGGAGACACAGAATCGGAAACAGGCTCCAGGCTCTGAGCCATCAGCCCAGAGCCTGACGCGGGGCTCGAACTCACGGACCGCGAGATCGTGACCTGGCTGAAGTTGGACGCTCAACCAACTGCGCCACCCAGGCGCCCCTCTTTTCTTTATTTTAAATACCTACTTTCAGAGACAGGGAGTGTGGGCACACACACACAGGAGCAGGGAAGGGGCAGAGAGAAGGGGAGAGAGAGAATCCCAAGCAGGCTCTGCGCTGACACATGGGGCTCAACCTCACGAACTGTGAGACTGTGACCTGAGCTGAAATCAAGTCAGACACTTAACCGACTGAGCCACCCAGGCGCCCCAAAGCTTTTATTTTATGCATGTTATTTTTTCCATTAGTTTGAGGGGAAAATACAATGCCCATAACCCTGACTAGATCAGGGAGCCTTATCATTACTAGGCTGGCTCTACCACTTGGGAGATGCAGAGATGCAAGACCCTAAGCAAGTTATTCAACCTAAGGCTCAGCTCCTTCATCTGTACAGTGAGGATAATATCCAGTTCTGTAGTTACAAGGATTAAAGGCAGTAATGATATAAAGTGCTTAGGATACCCAACAGCTGATTAAATATTAGTTATTATTAACATTGTTACTATTAACATACCCCTTTGGAGACACTGTATTTTGATTTTTAAAAAGTCATCACTTGGGACAGCTTTTCAGACCTCTGTTGGTATCATTAACATATTTAGAACAACACCTTAAAACACTGACCTTAGATATTTTAGTACATGCACTTAATGAAAACACTCATATAGACATACTGCTTTAATGTAATGAGATTCCTCTATTTCAGATGCCTTTTGATGTTTATTTTTTTTTTTTTTAGAGAGAGAGACAGACAGTGCAAGTGGGAGACGGGCAGAGAGAGAAAGAGGGAGACACAGAATCCGAAGCAGGCTCCAGGCTCTGAGCTGTCAGCAGAGCCCAATGCAGGGCTTCCACTCACAAACCGTGAGATCATGACCTGAGCTGAAGTCGGATGTTTAACAGACTGAGCCACTCAGGCACCCCAAGATGCCTTTTAGATAATATATTACTGATTAGTGCTGCAATATAAAATTCTAAAATTTTTCCTATTTAAAACAATCACATTAAGGGAACACGGTAACAACCCCAAGGTTATAGACCCAGAGGAACCTAGACTATTTGGAGTTTAAGAACTAACTGGACAAAATCTTGGCAGTTCACATGGAGTTGGCTTTAGCATTTTCATAATGCTGTGTATGTTTGTTGGTAGGACTTGTAAATCTTTGCTGTTTACCTAAACTTGTCCAAACACGCCTATCACTGAATGCAGACTTAAGTCGTAACAATTTCCATCTCCTTAATTAAGATGAAGTGACCATTTTGGGGAAGACAGAAGTATATGATGTTGTATTTAATTTAATCTAATTAATTTTAAAAACCATCACAGTCACAAGTAAGTCCCCTGTAATACATACAAATTTTCTATAATAATCTGGAATAACCTGCATCTGTGAAGGAAGTTTTGTGTGTACTTTTTAATACAAAATGAAAGTTTATTTGGAATCTCAATCCCTAGGAAGAGGGAAAAAATCTGACAGACTGGAAGAACATAAAACTACCATCAGTATTCTCCCCAGTCTACACAGCTAAAAAAATCTGCATCAAAAAGCAACAGATGGCCTGATATTATCTGCTGTATTTAGACTTTGGGCAATCTCTCGCCCCCTCAAGGCTAAAAAAACATAGCTTATCTGGGATTTGATGTATAACATTTTAGTGAATTTATATTACACTTGCATATAAAGCAGCCACCCCTAGCCAAAACCAAGTTTCAATGATTTCCACTGTGATCAATTTATATAATCATATTCTGAGATAAATCTGTATGTAAATATAATTAAAAGCTTAACTTGCAACTGTAGACAATTTATTGCTTATCACTGTTTTAACCAGAATTGGTATCAATTACCTATACCTATTAAAAAGAATTCTAAGTTTTATGTACTTTAAAATCAAAATGTATACCTCAAACTAATAACACTGTATGTCAACTAAACCGCAATAATAAAAATTGAAACAAATCAAATCAAACCAAAATGGAAAATACCACTGTAATAATATTACTGACTGTGCAATGTAATTTACTTAAACTTCTTGACTTCTTTACCTATATTTCTAGTATTTTTTAAGTGCCAATTCTAAGATTCACTTATTCAATCAACAAATATGTACTGACCACCTAACTATATACAAGGCACTAGGCTAGGCACTGATGATACGGAGCAGTAGAAAGACAGCTCTGATCCTCAAGGCACTCAAAGTCTTGGAAGTAATATAGACAATAAATAATTAATAATAAAATAAATTACAAGTAGAATAAGTATAACTGAGATATGCAACAGAGGGACTTGACATAGATTTAAAAAGAGACTGAAGGCAGATTTAAACACATCACAAATATCAGGAGACTGTCCTTACAAGTGATAAAAGATCACCACCCTCCTCTATAATAGGTTGGTTCCATTTTTCAAAAACTATAAAATAAAAAAACAATTAGAATTCTAAAGGTGAAGAGTAATCTAAATATTTTCAAATATTTCTTTTTTTTAAATTTTTAAATGTTTCTTAAAACATTAAAGTGCGAGTGGGAGAGGAGCAGAAAGAGAGGGAGACACAGAATTGGAATCAGGGTCCAGGCTCTGAGCTGTCAGCACAGAGCCTGACATGGGGCTCGAACCCACGAACCGTGAGATCATGACCTAAAGTCGGACGCTTAACCAACAGACCCACCCAGGCGCCCCATCAAATATTTCAAGGTAAAACATTTACTGACTAAAACAAACTCATAATATTTCTCTGTAATTCATAAAAATACATGGAGATCATGTACAAATGATTTCACTCTCCACATATACTTTTTCCTTGTACCTCCATCACCAGTTCTCCAAGTACTTCCTCCAGAGCACCCTCCCCCTGCCTTCCCTTTTCAACCTATTCTCTCTGTCCATCTCACTCTCTGAGAAGGGAGAGAACAATCACTTAGGACTATTCAGTCCCACTTTATAGTAAGTTATTCCTGAGGAAAGGGCAAATCTGTGTTTGCCAGCTTCTATTTCAATTTCCCTGACCCTTTAAGATCCTCTCTAAAACTGAAGGGGTGGGGTGGGGGGGGGGGGGGGGGAGAAAAGATGTGGCTAACTCAACCAAATAATCTGTTACCAAAAAGACAGCTCATCTTTTATATTTAGAAAGGGAAGTCAATGTTTTCCCCCATAATTCTAATTATTTAGCAACTATCCAGTCACATTTTCTTAATCAATCTCTGATGACCTATGCCCACCAATATTTAGATAACAGGTCAGAGCACAACTAACAAGACACATAGCATTCATCTAATCTTTCATTTAGCAATTACTTATTGGACACTTACTATATGCAAGGAAGGCAGTGCTGTCTAATAGAACTTTCTGAGATGATAATGTTCAATACCTATGCTGTCCAATCTGGCAGCCACAAGCCCCATGTGTCTATGGGTTACTTGAAATGTGGCCAGTGCGACTGAGGAACCGAATTTTAAATTTAATTCTGAATAATTGAAAATATAAATTTAGATAGCTACATGTGGCTAGTGGCTACAGTACTGGGCAGGGCAGGTCTAATGCAAACCTTTGGCTCTAGTCCTTTATTGAGTATCTTAACGTGGCTTAAGAAACCTGCCAAAGATACAGTGCCTATTTAGAAAGTGGCCAATGTATGTATAATTTGTTTTATTCAGAGTGTAGTGCTATATACTGTATAGCTATATAGTTATATACTATAACCAGCTTTTCAGAGAAATCAGAGAATTCTGGAGGAATGACAGGACCAAAAATTATTCAGTTCAGCTCCATTTAACAACAAAGAAGGCTTCAAAAGTATGAAAAATTTGCTTAAGACAATAAGATTCATTAGAGGGAAGGGTGGGCTGGAGTCCACCTATCAGGAGAATCAAAATATTCAAATATTTCATCTAGAGATCTCCTCCTCCTATTGCAAATAATGATATTGATATAGACATACATATACGTAAAAGACAAGAAAGAGCCATACCGACGTACTGGCTGTAGCACCCTGGAATGTTGCAGGTATATCATCCTGTAAATCATTTAGTGAAAAAGAGTGGTTTAAGTCTGATTCAGCGATAGTCTTTCCAGATGAATTGACTTCTGCCTATAAAATAAGATAAACCCAAGAGCATATTACAACAAATATACAAAATAACCCACAGGCTACGAATTCTCTCTTCGACTTATTTTTAGGAAGAAACACAGACAATACTGCTCTCAAGGAGCCATTATTTGGTTAAGAGACAAAGCTAACAGCCATGGTTCACAATCCACAATTCCAAATTAAGTTTTTGGTAATTGCCAGGCGAAGCCTGACAGATGAGGTTATTAACAGTCTTTGTCCCACATTAGTGTAAATATTCCCAGGTTTGCTCAGGGAATGTTAATAGATTTGATTATGGGGTACTGCCCCAGATGTCACTGCAGGTGCTAAAATATGGTATACGTTTGATATTTTCTAAAATCTGGAATTTGGATATACAAAACACATCTGGCCCTATAATTTTCAGAAAAGCAACTTTAAGTACAATTGGAATCCTCAGAAGAAAGAAAAAAACCAACACTTCCTAAGCACCTCCTCTTCCAGGCAATACAATGAATAGAAGGAAAAATTTCTCCTGAGAACTGGATATGAAAGGACAGACAGGATACAAGAGAGGTGAACAGGGAGGAAGCAGCATGTTGCTTAATGCAGGTTGACATTTTTTAATAGAGCTAATTAAATTCCAGAAGTAATTATATGCAATATATGGGGGAAAAAAGGACATCAGGGAGATATGCCAAAATATTATCAGCAGTTATTTCTTGGGGATGGGATTATTTATGATTGTTATTTCCTTCTAAATTATTATACTTTTGGGGCACCTGGGTGGCTCAGTTAAGCATCCAACTTCAGTTCAGGTCATGATCTCACAATTTGTGAGTTTGAGCCCTGCGTCAGGCTCTGTGCTGACAGCTCAGAGCCTGGAGCCTGCTTTGGATTCTATGTTTCCCTCTCTCTCTGCCCCTCCCTTGCTCACGCTCTGTCTTTATCTCCCAAAAATAAACATTAAAAAAATAATACATTATTATATTTTTATAATAATTTATTAAGTATCAGGGACAGTTCTAAATACAATATACTTAAGTATTAACTCACTCAATCCTCATAAGGATCCTACAAGATAAGTAACATTATTACTTACAGATAAAAAGGCACAGTGGCTAAGTAATACATCTGATGTCCTACTATTAATAAATAGCAAAGCTGAGATCTGAACCCCAGCATTATATACCAGAATCCAAGCTTTTTAAAAAATTTTTATTTTATTTGAGAAAAAGAGAGAGAGAGAGAGAGAGAGAGAGAGAGAGAGAGAGAGAGAATCTCAAGCAGGTTTTATGCTCAGCACAGAGCCTGACACAAGACTCAATCTCACAACCCTGGGATCATGACCTGAGCTGAAATCAAGAATTGGCTCAACCATCTGAGCCACACAGGGTGCCCCCAGAATCCAAGCTTTTAACTGGTATGCTGTAATGCTTTTGTGAATGTATGTTATTAGTGTCATAATAAGAAAAAATGATTTATAAAACCTTATTGCAACAGAACTATATTCTTTTACTTTCTATCCAGAATTTCTATCCAGAACAAAAGGATCACATAATTAGAATTTATTTACGAATTTAGAGTACCTTAAAACTGATTTGTCTAGCCAGTTCCTTGGCTTCCTGGTCAGCTTGGCTTGAATCACTTCCAGATTTTAAAGGCAACAGGACGTCCTTCATGGCACAGCCACATCCCTCACAACAGAAATCTTGTGATCTGGTAGGAAATAATTTTTTTGATGGGTATAAATTACATACTTGAATGGTAATTCAAGACACTTAACTACTGAATGATTAAATTTAAAATAAAAGAACACTGGATAATTCCATATCATATTCATCTACATGTAAATTAGACAATTATGGCAATAATTAAAGTTCTGAGACAAATATACAAGTTAGGTTGGTGTTAAAAAAGAAACTCATGTCACTTATATCTCAATTTTTAAAAATCTAAAATAAAAAAAAAAAATCCAGGGCTTAGGTTCCATTTTTTTCTAATATACTATCTAAAGAAAACTAAGCTTTAGATCTATACAACAAAACATACAAAATGTCTAATTACACTGTCCTCAAGGTCACACTTAAAACTATGTTAAGCCTGTGGGAAAAAAGTCCATTATAAAGTTTAAATTATGTTTTAGCAGAAACATATATAAAACAGTAAAGAAACCATTAAAAATAGAATTTACAGATACTTCCAGGGAAAAAATTCACAAATCCTATTCATCTAAATAGCAGTATAGGATTCCACTCGTATGTGGAATTTAAAGAAACAAAACAAATGAATACAGGGGAGAAAAAGAGAGGAGCAGATCAAGAAACAGACTCTTAACTACAGAGAACAAACAGATGGTTACCAGAGGGAGGTGGGTGGGGGGATGGGTGCAATAGGTGGTGGGGATTAAGGAGTGTACGTGCTGGGATGAGCACTGGGTGTTTGTATGTAAGTGTTGAATCACTGAATCCTACACCTGAAACTAATATTGCACTGTATGTTAACTAGCTGGAATTTAAATAAAAACTTGGAAAAAATAAAAATAAAAAAAATAAATAGCAGTATAACTCGAAAGACAGAGAACTTGTTTAAAATCCAAAGGCTGAAATTTATCACTCACTATATTTTTTTTTTTAATTTTTTTTTTTTCCAACGTTTATTTATTTTTGGGACAGAGAGAGACAGAGCATGAATGGGGGAGGGGCAGAGAGAGAGGGAGACACAGAATCGGAAACAGGCTCCAGGCTCTGAGCCATCAGCCCAGAGCCCGACGCGGGGCTCGAACTCACGGAGCGCGAGATCGTGACCTGGCTGAAGTCGGATGCTTAACCGACTGTGCCACCCAGGCGCCCCTATCACTCACTATATTAAATAGACTCAAGATAAACCTGTTAACTAGACTATTTCCTAAGATTTATTTGTTTTTCTATGTTTTCATTTTCCCCTTTGTAGTCCAGATAAAGCCAAAAGTGCCCTGAAGTTCACAAGAGTACTGAGGATTTATAGGACTGGAAGTAAAAATGTATAATACACAGGAGTATGTATTACATTGCTGAACTTAAAAAAAAAAAATTGTTTTATTGTATTTACAGTTCAACATACTAAAAGCCTTAGGTCTTGAAAGAACATGTTATTGAATTTATTAAATAACTTCACATGAACAAAATGTATGTAAAAGTAGTATGACTTCAGTACTTGTTGATGAATGTTTGTTTCACCAGAAGGACTGCTGTCCATATCCTTTTGAGAGTCAGTTGTATCCAAATTATTTGCTTTAAAATGTGTCCACTTTTAACTGAGAAGTCGGATGAAACTTAAAGGGGAATGTTTATTTTTAATATTAGCTTATCCACAAGGACAATATGCTACTATGGATGAATACAAAATCATGCTTTTAAAAATCCTCTATCACAGACTAAGAAGCTAGAATCTTACACAGAGAAGTCTAGAACAAAAAAACAAAGTTCTTTTTTTTCCCTCCTTATACATGAACTGAAGTATCAAGACAGAAAGCCAACAAAGAAAAAAAAGAAAGCTGTATGTTCAAAGTACATATTATAATTTGCGATTAATAGCTAAAGTAAGGTATATCCCCAGAACCGGGCAACAAGGTTTACAAAGAAAAGTTGGGGCACCTGTATCGCTCAGTCAGTTAAGCAAGAGATTCTTCATTTCGGCTCAGGTCATGATTTTACAGTTTGTGAGACCAGGCCCCACATCAGGCTCTGCACTCACAGCACTGAGCCTGCTTGGGATTATCTCTTCCTCTCTCTCTCTCTGCCCCTCCCCTGCTTGCACATACATGTATGTGCACTCTTTCTCTCAAAATAAATAAATAAACATAGAAAGAAAGAAAGAAAGAAAGAAAGAAAGAAAGAAAGAAAGAAAGAAAGAAAGAAAGAAAGAAAGAAAAGCAAAACTGCTGATGAAAACCAAAGAGTCTATCAAATCTTTCAGATATTAAAATTTGTTTGACTTAACAATATCTATAGAGGACGTATTCTGGACTGTTCTAGACTATGACATACTAAAATTTAACTAACATAAAATGCCCGAGAGGTAGTAAACAGCAGAGTCCAGGGCAGGAAAATGATCAAGATCAAGAATTACAGAATGTCAGTACTTTTAAATACTCTTCACCTCAGTGCAATTTTGGAATCTTTAACATTTGTTGAGGGATGAGTATACTATTCTAGCACTGGAAATCCTCATGATAGGATTTCTTATAAGGTCCCTTCTGTAGGCACACTGATTAAAAAAATAAACTGGATTAGAAGTTGTTCTTAAAAAAAATTAATCAGGGGCACCTGGGTGGCTGAGACATTAAGCATCCGACTTCAGCTCAGGTCATGACTTCATGGCTTGCAAGTTTAAGCCCCATGTCGGGCTCTGTGCTGACAGCTCAGAGTTTGTGGCCTGTTTTGGATTCTGTGTCTCCCTCTCTCTCTGCCCTCCCCTGCTTACACTCTGTCTCTCTCTCTCTCTCAAAAAATAAACATCAAAAAAAAAAAAAATTAGTCTTTGCACTACTCAAAGGAGAGGATACTTTGAATCTGATGACTAATCTGGGTTATGCAGACAGAATGCCTCCGAAAAAAATGAGAAGGCAATACACCAGAAAACTACAACCTGATAAAGAAAACCTCCTTTACTTTATTTTGGATCACTTACTGAGCACTTGCTTTGAGCCAGATACTGTAGATGCAAAGATCAATAAAATGGATTCCCTCCCTACCCTCAAAGAGTTTTTAATCTTATTATGAAAAGCTATATATAAATATTTGAATTGTTTTTTTCCATCTGTAATACTGCCCAAAGGGACACAAATAACCAGAACTGTTTTCTTGGAGAAGATATTTCCCACTGTAGGTTGATATAATCAACTACTCTCGAAAACTGGACAGCATGAAATAATTTTTAGACTCTGGTCATCCCTGAGTAATAAATTGTTACAAATGAATTTCTAAAATAGCAAAACTAAGACTAGATCTTGTAACCAAGGTAACTCACAAAGTAAGAGACAAACCCTATCTGCCTACTGCCATTACCCAGAAAAGTATTTCAATCCTAACAAAGAGTGAAATGCAACTTACTTTTTGGCAAGCGCTCTTCTTTCCTCTGGTGTGTAATCTAGAGAACCTATGGCTCCCTCTCCTTTTGTTGGCATAAACCCGATGATGGCTAATAATGCTGTTCTTACTGAAATAAAGAGTAAACATCAATCTAAGTTGTTTTGTAAAACGAACTGGGTTTACTCTAGAAAGAGAAAAAAGACACATAGGCTTTCACTGAAGAGGTGCAGGTAAAGTGGCTGTATTAAAATGGGGCACCTGGTTAACTCAGTTGGTAAAGCATCTTCACTCTTGATTTCAGCTCAGGTCACGATCTCATGGCTCCTGAGATCAAGCCCTGCGTCAGGCTCCATGCTGACAGCAGGGAGCCTGCTTGAGTTCTCCCTCTCCCTCTCCCTCTCTCTCTGTCCCTCCCCTGCTCACAATCTCTCTCGCGTACACACTCTCTCTCTCTCAATAAATAAATAAATAAAAATAGAAACTTAAAAAAATAAATAAAATGATGGCAAAACCAAGAGAGGGAAAGAATTTTTATTATTTATTCAATATCATCAAATTATTTATCCAAAACAGCTTCAATCTCAAAAGGGTGTTACACTTTATAATTATGAATTGATTAGAGTTACAGAATAGAAGATTTATATTCACTTTAAATTAATACTCACTACTCCACGAAGGCTGCCAAGTTTCAGGATGATGTCCTGAGATGCTCAAACAGATTTTCTTGCCTACTTCAAATCGTCCATTAGCCTTAGGAATAAATAAGGCATTTAAAAAACTATATATGTGTTTAATATTGTATACTTTATAAGTATAAATATATTTTACAAGTAAATAATTTTTTTTTTAATTATTAACATAATCTCCAAGGGGACACAGATTTTTGTCCTCTTATAGATACTCCACAAATATTGGTTGAAGTCTGAAAGAACAATAAAAGCTGTTTTTAGAAGTTGTAGCACCTAGGGGCACCTGGGTGGCTCAGTCAGTTGAGCGTCCGACTCTTGATTTCAGCTCAGATCATGATCTTATGGTTTGTGGGATCAAGCCCCGCATTCCACTTTGTGATGAGAACACGGAGCCTGCTTGGTATTCTCTCTCCCTCTCTCTCTGCCCCTCCCTCACTTGCACACACCCACGCATGCTTTCTCTCAAAATAAACAAACTTAAAAAAAAAAAAAAAAGGGTTGTAGCACCATTTTGAAACTGAGTTGCATAACTGAAATCTACATACATAATTCATGTATAAAGATGTCCTGATGTCCTACTCTGAGCCCAGTACCGCACAAGGCCCTGTGAAGGATCTAAAAGAGAAGATATACAGAGGCTAGAATAAAACCTAAGAACTTGGTGTTACCTAATTAGATACTGGTGCAGAAGGCTCTGACACTGAAGTGATTTCCATAAGGATGATACAATTTCATAAGACAGGAACACAAAAGAGTCAGATCAGAGATAATGATTTCAGTTTTGGACATGGATCTGTTGTCTTGGTAGAAGAGCTATGGATGACGTATAGCAGATAGGCAGAAATAGAGACATGCTGATGTCAGACAAAAAACATTTTTGGTATCTGCCTTAACAGAGATGACTGATGAAAACCATTTTATAGAAATAAGAGAAAACAGCTGAAGTCTGAACTTGTAGAATATCCATATTTAAGGGAAGGATAAGGAAGAAGAAGCATGAAGTTAGAATACAAGCTCTACATGGCCAGAGAATTTAACTTATTCTCTGCCACACCTACAGGGTACATGACATATGTTTAACAAATACTTGTTGAATGAAGATTGGAGAAGACTTTTCAAAAGAGAGGAAGTGAACCAGAAAGAGTAAATACTGACAATCAGGAGGGCAGGGCTGATTCTCAGCCAGTGTGTTAACCATGACCATATATTGGGTAACTACTGGAATTATTTCTATACTTCGGGTGAAAGCTGCTGCCCCAACTATTCCTCCCCGCCAGTTTCTCCATGCACCAGCCCCACTCCTGGACCACTTGGCTCTCCACATGATCTAGCAACTAAAAAGGGACTCCTAAACACAGTAGGGCACCTCCCAGGACTATCCCCAGCATTAACAATTCTCAACATCACCTAATGTGTGTTAAGTAGCAAATTTTATATGCTAGGAACTTTATATTGTGATTATATTTACCATACACAAGCCTTGACAGATGAGAAAAGTGAATTTCAATGAGATTATATAACCTGCCTCTGGTGTAATGGCAAGAACAGTGGTCAGAATCCAGGTCTACTGGCTCTGAAACTAATGCTCTTTCCACTACACCAAATATAGGTAAAAGCAGCATTAGTTTAGTATTTATTAATGAATACCTTGTGTTTCACCATTTGCCACTCCATGTGTGTCAGATATTTAACTTAGATGGACTGGGATGAAGACCGAAAAGGGGCAGCAGGATTTTTGAAACTAGTCCCTGAAATTGGTGTAGTAAGCATGTAGAAACCAGACTGCAACAGACTAAACTTGAGTAAGGATGTCTTGAACTTATCCAAGAGAAAATACAACAGTTTAAAGAGGTAGGAGAGACACAGAAAGGTTTTCATTTTTTTCAATGTTTGTTTATTTTTCAAGGGAGAGAGAAACAGAGTGCAAGTGGGGAAGGGGTAGAGAGAGAGGAAGACACAGAATGTGAAGCAGGCTCCAGGCTCCCAGCTGTCAGCACAGAGCCTGACACAGGACTTAAACCTGCATACAGTGAGATCATGACCTGAGCTGAAGTCAGATGCTCAACCAACTGATGGCACCCATGCACCCCAACAGAGAAAGGTTTTTGTGTTTTGTTTTGCTTTTTTCAAGGTTAGGGGATACTTAGACATACTGGCAAATTAAAGAAACGAGGGAAAGAATGCTTAACAAATAAGAGAGAAATTTACTCTGAAGGAACAACATCCCAGGATAAATAAGAGAATACTGGATCAACAGCTTTCTTTCACATGGAGGTAAAATATGTGACGACAGAAATTCTAAGATCTAAACAGAGATAACAGAGGGGTGCCTGGGTGGCTCAGTCAGTTAAGCATTCAACTCTTGATCTCAGTTCAGGTCATAATCTCATGGCTTGTGGGATTGAGCCCCAAGTAGGGTTCTGCAATGACAGCTCAGAACCTGCTTGGGATACTCTCTCCCTCTCTCTCTGCCCTTCCCTCACTTGCACATGCCCACACACACTTTCTCTCTCTCAAAATAAGTAAATTTTAAAAAATAGTAATAATATAACTAACATTTATTGAGGACTCTGTGACAGCTCTTACTTTAAGAGCTGTATAGGAAAATGAGGAAAGCAGTGTAACAAAGTTGACAAGTTGAAGGAAATGATGCGATTAAGAGATACAATAACATTACCCTCTACTGAGTACTTACCAAGTGCCAGACACTGCCTAGCACTTTGCATACATTAATTCATTGAATCCTATCACCTACACTATGGCCACTATGCATTCATTAGCATCAATAATTCCTAGGAATTATTTTTGGGGGAAAATAATTGTACTACCAAGGCGTGGTCCCCAAAGACAAAATTATAATGTCCCACTTTATTTCTTAATGAAAATGAGTATGCTAACCACACTCTGTAGTCGTCATGAAGAGTTAAACCACAAGTATTCCAAAAGCCAAGAATTCTTACCGTTAAAAGAATAATGCTTGGTGGTTTCATGGGATACTCGGGGGGCAGTACTATTCGTCCATGATAAACTCCTCCATCAAAATCAGAATCTGGGGGCCCTCTAACTGTGAAGTGCCATTCAAAAAGGTTATCCTGAACAAAAAAAATAACCAGCAAGAAATTAGTAACATTAAAAGGTCTGATCATCTTTATCAAGGAGTATCAGAAATATTCCTAGATGAGAAAAATCAAATGTTTCACATTATTACTAAAATAGTTAATAATGCACAAAATGTCTCAAGTATAAAAGTTATAAGTAAAAGTTATTAATCTAGTTTCCATGTCCCACAAGAGCTAAAATTTAAACAAATGCATTTTAAAAAGCTGAGCACTGTTATATATTCATAAATTAGATTCCAGATTTACTTAAGCTGGAAATTAATCCTTGAATACTAATTAGTGATAATTAGTATATAATCAAATAATTACTGTAAAATTACGTTACTATTTTAACAAACTTTAAAAAATTATCCCTCATGGATGCTTAAGAGCCTATTTATTTATAAGTAGTCAGTAATATTAATAAATATGCTATCAATATTATCTTAGAGTTCCCAAGTACTTTACAGTTTACAGTGTGCAAAATTACATTTTATTCTCACTAATGTCATGGAAACCAGACTGAGCACATTTAAATACAGATGGGAAGACTAAAAAGAGATAGAGATGTTTGTGCAAAAAGCCTAGACTAACTGTAGAGGCCCCTCAAGGAGCCAGATCTTTCAAAGTATAAAGAGTTTGGGGTTCTTTCCATTCCCCCTCCCTCCCTCATACTCAAAACATAAAACCAATTTAGCATCTGAGACCATTTTACAGAAACCGAAAATTTGCTTCTAAAATGTCAGATTCTGAATGGCTAATGAAATAAATACTTAGAAAATATAGGGAGTAAAATATGTCAATAAACCACATCAAACACATCTGTAATGACTCAAAGCAATGAAAAAACAATTTTAAGTAATTAGTTTAAAATATTAAAGTATTAGGGCGCCTGGGTGGCTCAGCTGGTTAAGCATCTGACTTTGGCTTAGGTCATGATTTCACAGTTCATGAGTTCAAGCCCCACATCAGGCTCTCTACTGTCAGTGCAGAGCCAGCTTCCTATCTTCTGTCTCCCTTTCTCTCTGCCCTCCCCCACCTCGCACATTCTCTCTCTCTCTCAAACATAAACATTTAAAAAAATAATACCATGTTTTTAAAAATAAATAAATAAAAATAAAATATTAAAGCATTAAAATCCACATGTAAGAGGAGTGCCTGGGTAGCTCAGTCAGTTAAGTGTCCGACTTCGGCTCAGGTCATGATCTCATGGTCCATGAGTTCAAGCCCCATGTTGGGCTCTGTGCTAACAGCTCAGAGCCTGGAGCCTGCTTTGGATTCTGTGCCCGCCCCCCTCTCTGCCCCTCCCCCCACTCGTGCTCTGTCTCTCAAAAATAATTAAATGTTAAAAAAAATTTTTTTTAAACTAAATTAGAACTACCATTGGATCCCGCAACCCTTCTCCGTATAATCCCCAAGTAAATAAAATCAGTACTTCATAGAGATATCTGTGGTCCTACATTCATTGCAACATTATTCCAAGTAGTCAAGGGATCGGGGGAAAACACCGTGTGTCCACCAGTAGGTGAATGGAAAAAGAAATTGTGAGATTTTACACGTCTATAAGTACAAACGTATAAATAATGATATATTATCCAGCCTCTAAAAAAGGGAGTTTCTGCCATTTGCTACCCCATGGATGAACCTGGAAGACAAACCTTATGCTAAGCAAGAAAAGCCGGACACAGAAAGAAAACACTGCATGATCACACTTCTAGGTGGAATTTTAAAAAGTCAAATACATAGAAGCAACTCACTCCTTTGTATTATCATAGAAGAAAATAGCTCCAATTGTCTTATCATTTCTAAAATTCACAAAAAAGCAAATTTGTATTTATTAGGACATGATATATAAAAAATAATAAAAGCAACTATACATGAAAAGAAAAATTTTTTTTTAATCCACATGTTAAGACATGGGAGATAGAAACTTACCTCTAATGGCTGTGCATGGTAATGATCTGTTGGATCTTTCAATTCTGCTGCTTCTTTCATTAAACGTTTAACAGCTAAAATAAAATTCATAAGATACATTTAAAATACACTTTTCCAAGAGATTAGCACAAATTCACAAACTAATGAAAAAGTTCCTATTTCAATAAAAACTGTACAGAGGACTAGTTCAACTGGGTATATGGTTAAAGTTTAATTATGGGATAATGGTAATAATCAGAGAGGGGAAGGACATGGCATTAGAAGAGTTATATATTAAATTAAATACTTAGGGCAGTCTCATAAAGACACTATTTTTATTTAATATGCATTTTCATAAACACTAACTCATGTAATCCTTAAAACAATGGAAGACTTGGTGGCGCAGTCAGTTAAGCATCTGACTCTTGATTTTGGCTCAGGTCATGATGTCATAGTTGATGGGATAGAGCCCCACACGGGGCTTCTTGCTGACAGCGTGGAATCTACTTGGGATCCTCTCTCTCTCCCTCTTTCTGCCCCTCCCCCTGCTTGCGTGCACCACCTCTCTCTCTCTCAAAATGAATAAATAAACTTTTTACAAAATTCCCATTTTCCAGACTAAGAAACTGAAACATGGAGAGATTACATAACTTGTCCAAGTCCAGACAGCTAGTCAATGACAGCTGGAATTTTAACACAGGCATTCCAACTCTATTTTGTTAAAATATCTGTATTAACAAAAATGTGCCCTCTGGAATTCATGCTTATGAACGGGACACCCTGTATCTTCCTATACAGGGGAGGATATCCTCTACCTCTTGGGAATTTTCACCCACTATTTTGCATTAATTTAAATGGACTGTCCCCAGGAGTCACTAAATCTCCACACCTCTAATCGATTTTTTTTTTTTAAGGTATGCTCCAATGTTCCACGCCCAATGCCAGACCCTGACGGAGATCAACAGTCACATGCTCTACCAACTGAGCCAGCCAGGTGCCCCTTGAATTCCTTTCTGAGAAGACTCTTCAGCTTAATTAAAACCTCCAATCAACTCACCCCATAAATTTCTGTAACCACCTATATCTATATTCACGTCCTTCTTTATCCATACCTTTGGCTCTTAGGAATTCCTCATTTATACTCCCCTAATAAAATATAATTCTAGCTGACCCAACCCAACCATCTTCTTATTTGGTATCTATACCCAAACAGCTGAGCATTACTGAAGGGGAGGGTAAAAAAAGTCACAGAGGCAGGCACACTGATGTCATTACAGAGTTATTATCGACAACTTCCACCAGGACACAATGCCACCCAACGTTCCGGAATTTCTCTGGTAAGCCAAGCAGCCCACTCCAGCCAGCACCCCAAGACTATTTCACACCTGTTTACTCCTCATCTCACTCCTCTTTCACCTCTTACAGTCAATGACACAGCCTTTTACTTCCACGATAAATGACTGTCAGCAGCCTATCACAACCTACAAATCCTATCTGTACCTGTACCCTCCTTCCTTCCCTACTGGTTCTTAAAGGTCAATCCTTTGGTCCCAGCCCCTCAAACCTCAAGCTGTAGGTGCTAAAAAATGTCAGGATACTGGTATAGGACTGTAAAGCCAGGAAAAAACCAGGTAGCCCATGGCTCCCAAAATTCTGCTTGAAAACCAACTGATATAGTTCAATGTGCTATAAGAGAAGTATGTACCAGGTGGGCACCTAACCTGACAGCAGACAGAAGAGAAAAGGAGTCAGGCAGGCACTGACATCTGAAAGAAAGACAGTGGGAATTATGCATGGGTATGAATAGGCAGAGGAAACAATAAAAGTAAAATGCACAGAGGTATAGGTATGGAATGAAAGAGATTAACTGAGCACACCTCCCACACACATACAACCAAACAGTTCAGTATGTATCAGGACTTCTGCATAAAATTTCCTTTTAATCAAGGGTTCCTAAGTGGGGGAAAGAGTTCATAATTCACTATCCTACTCCATAATTATTCGTTCTTTTCTATCTCCTACATCAAACTAGGTCCTTGTAGTCACAGACTTTGTTCACTTTATCAAAGTATTTGAACATCAAATAGTTACTGAGTTCATCATATTAGATGTTACAGCTGCAACCAACATATAGTTTTGGTTATCAAGGAGCTTGTAGTCTTGGGGCAGGTGGTGGAGGTAGGGGGCAGGGGGTCAAAGAATGGAAAAAAGTCTAGTGTCTAGAACATGGGGGGAAATGTATCTTAATGTTCACATACATGTTTCTAATCTAGTATTTGTCATGGTCCTCAGCTTGCAATGCTGCTCCCACTCCCACTCCCCATCCAGACAGGCCTTAAGGAACTTCCTTAGGAATGTCTTCCAGACAACTTCCCTTGTACACCCCGAAGAATGACTAGAGATGCCCATCTGATAGATAAAAATCTCTGAGGAGTCCTGGGAGGGGAACAGAGACCAGAAATACTCTCCATGTTAGTTATTCTAATGGTCAGTCCCATCTGGAAGCCACTACTGTAGAAACTAGGTTGAGACTCCTTGCTCTAAGCCCTAACACTCTGTATTTTATCTTTTATAAAGTTTATAAAATCTCACTTGTAATTACTTAACACCTGTCTGCTGTGAAACAATTTACTTCACTGCAGGCTCCTCAGGGCTTAGCACATAGTAAACACTCAAATATTAGTTTAATTGAATTTTACTATCATCCTCCCAAAAAATCTTTCCAAGCATCTGGTTAAAAGCAATGGTTTTCAAACTTATTTGACAATAAAATCCTTTGTTCAAAAAAAAGCTTAATGAGAACCTCAATATGTACAACAGGTAACAGAGCTGTTTTGGTTGGGGATGGAGGGGCCTTCAGGCTGTTTACGCCCTTCAACCTAGTCTATCGAAGGAGCCCATGGAACAAGGATTGAAAAACCTTGGTTTAAAGCCACAGGAAAATATCATTCTTTCAAATTAATATTATTAGATATAAATAAAATCATGGAAGCTGCTATGAAGTTAATTCATTTGGCTGCTGTCGGCAATCAAAGATGCCATGGAGATTGTTTTTTTCTTCATTTCTCATCAGCTGGCTGAATGATTAAGCTGAAGAAATCTATTTTATGTTATTGCAAACTCTTTCCACATTTTCTCCACCTCTCCCCCACTCAGCTCAATTCAACAGGAAAGAAAAAAAATAAACACCCAGTAGTACTTGGATATTACGAGAGATGTTAAGAAAGGATCAGAATTAAGAACAACTGATAACAATTGAATAAAGGAACAATCATGTGTTCAACAACTAAACATACTGATTTTCATAGTTCACAGACTACACAGGCACATACCATGTGAGAGCTAAAGCCATGTAGCCAAATAGAAGGTAATATTAGTCTAGTGTTCTCATAATCTTTTTTTCCCTGAAATTACATTACATATATTATAAATGTCTTAGTGCAAAAGAATGTGGACTCTGAATTAGAGCTGCATTAAACCTCTGGCTCCTATATTCTGTAGCTCTAAATCCTTAAATAAATCACTTAATCTTATTCTGCCTCAATGTTCATATCTGTCAAATGGGAGTCAATAATATCTTCACGTAATTCTCTTTTCCTTCCTCTCCCCCACCTCTTCCCCAGGTCACAAGTTATTGTCAGAAATAGACTGGGATATAAGACCCTCTCAAAATTCTCCCTGGTTCAAAACCAGACAATGAGGGGACACCTGGGTGGCTAGGTAGGTTAAGCGTCTGACTTCGGCTCAGGTCATGATCTCGCAGTTCATGAGTTTGAGCTCTGCATGGGCTCTGTGCTGACACCTCAGAGCATGGAGCCTGCTTCGGATTGTGTCTCCGTCTCTCTCTGCCCCTCCCCTGCTTGAGCTCTGTCTCTCTCTCTCTCTCAAAAATAAATATTGAAAAAAATTTTTTAAAAACAACAGACAATGAGCATATATAGTTGGCCTCATGGCATGGCTCCCTGGTTCCCAAGGAGAACTATCACTACAGGATAGTCAAGTTTCAAACTACTGCCTGGCAACTAGGTCTAGAACATGGTCTGCCACTCCTGATGCTCCATCTCTTGTTATCACATACAGAGAAAACTTTTTCCGATCATCTCCTCTCTTATCTCTTTGCAAGATTATTCAAGGAATTCTACCATGGTGAGACACAATATGCCAGGGAAGGAAAGGAGATGGGGAATACCTGCATGCCTGCTCTTGTTCTTTTCTACGGAGACCACAGGATCACTCTGGATCCAAACTCTAGGCTCTATGGGCCTAGGCATTAGCAATAGCAACCTTCAAATACCCAGGCTCTACCTCTCTAGGCTTACATTGGGCTTTGAAAACAAAGCCCCAGCTAAAGGGATCTTTTACAGGTCACTGTCTCTCAAGCATCTATTTCTCTTAGAAAGAAAATATCTTGGGCTCCTGGGTAGCTCAGCTGGTTAAGCATCAGACTTTGGTTCAGGTCATGATCTCACGTTTGTGGGTTCAAGCGCTGTGTGTCACGCTCTGTGCTGACAGCTCAGAGCCTGGAGCCTGCTTTGGGTTCTGTGTCTCCCTTTCTGTCGGCCCCTCCTGGGCTCGCACTCTCTCTCTCTCAAAAATAAATAAACATTAAAAAAAATTCTTTTAAAAAGAAAGAAAGCAAATATCTTAATATAATCAATCTCCAAAGCATGGGTAAAATGCAGAAGGAGGGTATATTGGGGATATGAACCCAATGTCTGCTCCCCAAGTGCCTCTTCCTACTCCCATAATGAAGGCACTTAAGCAAATGTTTAAAGACTAGTGTTTCTGTCCAGAAGGACCCTACAAAGGTATCCATTCAACAAACATTTAAAAAAATGTCCAAGTGATGGAGACCAAATAACCAAGACCTGCTTCTTGCCTTCAAAAAACTCACAGTGAGAAAGATATTAAAACAATTGAAATACAAACACTGACCAAGTATGTACAAACATAGGGACTACCTTATAGTCTACCTAATTGCTTAAGATAGCTGGACAAGGCCGAACCTTAAAGAAGCCTGAAGAATAGGAATTTCCAATGGATTAAAGGGAAGCCATGCCAAGCAGAGCTTCCAACAGGGACCAAGGCATACAGGTGAGAAGAGCTACTCCATCTGGATAGTCACTTGGGCGAAATGGATACATGGCAAAAATGCAGAAGCGGGAAAAAAAAAAAGCAACGGAGCACAGTTGTAGTAGTCTCGACTAGGTTGGTGAGAAAGACAAGGATCAAATCGTGAGCAGCCGTGTAGACCAAACTGAACACTTTACTTTTAATGTTATCCATAGCTATTAGGAAGACATTGAAATTTTTTCAATTTAAGGACTGATCTAATCAGTTTTGTTTTTTGTTTTACTGGAGCTGGTGACAAAAGTGACTGAATAGATAAATATGTGTGTGTGTATACCGGCACCCATGCAAGTATGCCTGTGTGTGTGTGTGCGTGTGTGTGTGGGTGTGTGGGTGTGGGTGTGGGTGTGGGTGTGGGTGTGTGGTGTTCGTTCCAGGGTAGGGGGTAGACTAAGGAGTAGACCGAGAGATCAAAGATAATTCCCATGGGTGCCTAGTTGCTGTCAATCCTGGAATAAGGGATGAGGGGACTCTGGAGGAGGAGAGTAAACTGATGAGTTTGGTTTTTTATTACCTCATAGAGATTTTTTCAGTGTGGGGGAAATCTGGGTGAAGACTTTGAATCACCAGTAATTCCAGGTATACTACAGCCTAGGAAAAGGGCTGAATTGGACATTAAAGCTTGAGAATAATTAGCATGAAGGTCCAGCCAACACTAAGGGTATATGGATAGAACAGCTCCCAGGTTTCCGGTGCAGACAGTGGGTGCCTTTGCTCCACTCTCTCACCAATCACCTCCTGAACACGGCCACAGACCCCTTCTGAAGAAAGCTACCACAAGAAGTTCTCTACACATAGGTCACCCTACTTTGTATTCTGAAATCCTACTACCTTGGCCAGAGCAGACCCAAAAAGGGATCAGGGAACTTGATCCAGAACAACCACTGATGAGCTAAGGCAGAGGCTTAATGAGGTAGCTCCACACAGAACTTTACCCCTAACCACAAGTCCATTCCAGAAAAATCACAAAGAAATAAGTTTTCCCACTTACAAACTGAACATACGTACTAGCCACATACTAGCACACTGGCCCTTTACCAGTTATGTGTATTCTCCTAATTGTGCCATGCATATGTCTAATTAGAAAGAGTTATATCTCTTCCATTGTGAAGTGCTTTTAATCACTTTCTTTCACACATGGATTACTCTAAAAATACCACACGACTGAGAATAAAACAAAGGAAGCATTTTCACCATGTTTGCTAGCATTTCTGGTAAGTCCCATATCTCATCTAATTCACCTTCACCATGAACTCCAAATGATCCACAGAGTAACTAATAAAAAAGATTTTAAAAAATGATCTCAGGTAGAACACCACCACCACCTTTGAGGAAATGATACCAAAAAGAGGAAGCAATTTACAACACAGCATGAAGCATGTCCACAAAAGCTCAGCCAGCTGACAGATCAGATACTTTGGAAATGCACAAAATTCCGGAGAATTTTTTTAAGTTTGTTTATTTATTTTGAGAGGGAGAGCACAAGCAGGAAGCGGGGGAGGGGCAGAGAGAGATGGGGAGAGAGGATCCAATGAAGGTTCTGTGCTATCAGTGCAGAGCCGGACGTGGGGTTCAATACCACAAACCATGAGATCATGACCTGAGACGACATCAAAAGTCAGACACTTAAGGGACTAGCTACCCAGGCGCCCCAAAATTCTGGAGAATTTAAAAGCTTTTCATAACCTCAGGCATGATAACCTATCAAAACTGAGCAATGTGTAGACAGTGCAGGGCCTAGTTGAGATTCCCTCTCTCCCTCTCTCTCTCTACCCCTCCCCCACTTGTGCTTTCTTTCTCAAAATAAATAAACTTAAAAAAAGAAAACTGAGCAATGTGCTGTTAAAAACAATGTCTTTGGATCCACCAGTTTTCCCTTCCAAACTGCATTATTACTCATATTTGCATTATTCTCTGGACACTCCAAGTATCTCAGCTGTCCTAAGGAACTTGGTATCCTGTGACCAAGGTACATTTTTTTTAATTTTTAAAAATTTTTTAATGTTTATTTTTATGAGAGAGAGAGAGTGGGAGCAGGAAGGGGAGGGGCAGAGAGAGAGGGAGACACAGAATCTGAAGCAGGCTCCAGGCTCTGAGCTGTCAACACAGAGCCCGATGCGGTGCTCGAACCCATTAACGGCAAGATCCAAGATCGTGACCTGCGCCAAAGTCATACACTTAGCCGACTGAACCACCCAGGAGCCCTCAGAGTCACCATACATTTTTACCCATATAGTTTTATTTACATCTACAACAATCTAGGGGCGCCTGGGTGGCTCAGGTGGTTGAGTGTATGACTTCAGCTGAGGTCATGATTTCACCGTCCATGGGTTCGAGCCCACATCAGGCTCTGTGCTGACAGCTCAGATCTGTGCTGGAGCCTGCTTCATATTCTGGGTCTGCCTCTCTCTCTGCCCCTCCCCTGATCACGCTCTGTCTCTCTCTCTCTCTCTCTCTCTCTCTCTCTCTCAAAAATAAACATAAAAAATAATCTACAACAATCTAAACAATTTAAGCATTCTACCATCTATCCTTAAAACCAAAGTTTTCTTTCCCTCTTTGTCTTTTATTTTCCCCTCTTTCCCCTCTAGCGTTCTTAAGAGATGGGGAATGGAGAGCCATTAACCAAACTGAAATTGAACTGTATAAATGCATCTCTTGGAAAGCCCATAGCCTTCACTAGATTTTTAAAGGAGTCTATGGGCCCATACATGGTATGACCCATTCTACACACTTGGTCACCTAAGAACATTTCTCAGCCTGAAAGCACTCAAGCTAACAAAGCTCTGCTCAATCAATAACCTCAAGCTTTTCTGGAGTTTCTACATATTAAGTATGTTTTAAAAATCAAAGACTCACATGTCCGCTCTTTCCATAACGATGCTAATCTTACTGATTCCTAATGAAAAGATGCTTTCTTGTAATGAAAAAATAAGCAGCAGCAATATTTGGCCAAACCACCACTAATATTCTAGGAATATCATTTGGAGCTGAACTGTGGAGTTTGTCCCTCCTGACAATTTTATCAAGGTACACATAGAATAAATACCATTTACAGAAACTAGTGTTTCATTTCCAGCCTGCCTTAATATGAGAGAGCTGCTTGATTTTCGTGCATCTTCATAATGCACCAGAAAAGAACTTGAGGCTAGGACTGTTTGGGCTGTTTTGTAAATGAAGCAGGGGCACTAAGTACAGAAAAATAAGTCTTTATGACCGAATATAGATATATATCATGTTAGTCGGCATGGCAAAAATCATGGTTAAGCACTAAAGGGCTTGGCTCATCTAACTAGTTTTCTTAGCGCTTTGGTTAGTTAGTTTAATACAGAGTATTTCCTCTAGGTCTTTAATTCTATTTGCCCCCAAATGCTGCAAAGGCGATATTTAAACAACCAAATCCTCACGTGTAAGTGAGTGAAACAGCTAATATAAGTCCGGTGGCAGCGACGAAAGGATAACGACGGTCGGTGTTCAGGGTGCAGGTACGGACGGCACGGCGTTGTTAACTATTACCCACGGACATCATCTTTACATCTGTTCTTAGATATGAGTTTATGACCCAGCACTACGCAACCAACAAGAGGAAAGGGAAAGTCCAGGTGCTGCGGGGAACTGGCCAGTCCCCGGACTGGCAGCCGGTGCCCGCCCGGCCGCCCTGCGGCCTGCACCATCCCGGCAGGCGGCGGTCTCGCGTAGAGCGCGAAACCCGGGGCGGAGCCGCGAGTGGCGGCGGACGCGAGGGAACCGCAGCGCCCGACCCGGGGTCCGGGGTCACTCCGCCCTCCCCGGCCCACCCGCCGGCGCCCCCCACCGCTTCCAGCCTTGCTCACCCGGGCTCTTCAGGTTGTAGCGGGTCTCCATGGCGGATCGCTGGCCCGGCTCCGGCCTCCCGGCCAGCCGCCTCCACCTTTCCGCGCCGCCGCCGGTGTGAAAGCGCGGCTCAGGCCGATTGGGCCAGGCCGAGGGAGCCTCCGCAGACACCGCCCAGCCCCGGCCCGGACTGCAGGCAGGAGGGTGAAGGCGGGGCGCGGGCTTCGCGATGGCACCGCCTCCCCCGCGGCTCCCCCGCCTCCCTGAGGGCGGGGCAGGCGCCGGCGCCGGCCGGGGAGTCGCTGTACCGGGCGCCCGGGCTGGAGGTAAGCTTTCCCGTCTGGCCGCGGGCCCAACCCCGCCGCGGCCGCCCGGCCTGCGTCACCCGCCCTCGCCCGGGTTTTGTGAAGTTGCCCTGACGTGGCGGTCGCTTCGTGGCGGTCGGTCGGCCGGCTCCGGCGTCCGTCACTGCGTAGTCGCCGCTGGCCCCGCGGAAAGCGCTCCGGCGTCTGCAAAAGCGTACGGCGCGCTCGTCTGCCCCTCGCCCAGGCCCCCCGGAAGCCGACCTTTTGCCGGGCCTGTCCGGGGTTCCCTGCGCTCGCGGGTATTACGGAAGAACGGCGCGGCCGGAAGCGGCCCAGCCCTACTCGCCGCCGGTGGGCTCCTGGAGCCCGGGCCTGAGAGTCCAGAGGGGCCCGGGCTCCGGCTGCCCGCGCGCTGCACAGCCTTGTCTGTGATCCAGTATAGCTGATGGGAGTGGGAACAGTTACGTGCGGAAGGGAAAAAATCCAGTGATAAGGAACGGAGTAGGGTTTTTAGAACAGTTTTTTTAAGATAATGTCATCAGGTGCAAGACACTTGTAAGCATTTATTTATAGTTATAAATAATTGTGACTTGCCAAATAAAACTAAGGGAATTACGTTGAATTTGCGGGAAAGCATACAAATACATACGTAAGGGTGAACCTCAGAGGACACAGTTCATGCTTCATTATGGAAAAAATGGGGTTAAGAGAAAGAGGGCTTGGGTTCTTGAAGGCCTAAAGGAGGGGCGAGAATTTAGGAAAGAGGGAGGGATTGGCAGACTAGGGAGGATGAAGAGGGAAGGAAGGAATTCTAGGTGAGATGAAGAAGGGTTAATCCGGCTGGCCAAGTTACATTTTGTTATATAAAGAATTGTACCAGCAACCTTTTGTAAAGAGTGAAATTGGGAGGGAAGGGAAGAAATGGAGGATATCTAAAATAAAATTAGATGATATCTTTCAAGCCTTTCCATGTTGTTGTTTTCTGAAAAGTAAAGGGATAATCAGATTGGCTGAAATGCGCAAACCAAACCAAACCCCAATGTGCTGCTTCGTTCATTTTTTCATTCTTTGTTATTAAATCTTCAGATTGTCTAACATTTGACAGTTTTGCAAAAGCCTGTGGCAATAGGCCTCACAATGAAGAGGCTTGTGAAACAGGTATTATCATTCCTATCTGATAGCTAAGGAAACAGAGTTCTGAAAGCATTAGGAGCCTTTCAGTTATTCAGCCTGCAAGTCAGTCAAATTCTGAATGCTGTAGTCTCTGGGGGCTCTCCTCCTTTATTTCCTCTGCACCGAGAGTGGGACATTTTTCTTTTTTTTAGAAGATACTACCACTTAGTCTGCTCCTTAGTGCTGAAAGGGTTCAAGACAGCCCCCCCCCCCACCAGAATGTGCCACTTGACATATGGATTATTTTGAGTTGAAGGCGCTTGAGACCCTGCAAGCTGAAGAGAAACTTTTGTCCGTCTCTTAACCACACAGAAAAATCTAAATTGGGGGTATTTCCCAGAAAAAGGATTGTTAACAGAGATAAATTTTATCTGAGTGACCCATCTGTATTGCAGAGCAAACATCTAATAACCAAACATCTGTTCTCCTTATTGCCCTGTGAAGTGCCTTCCTTTCCTCTGAAGTCCCAGACCCGGAGTCCTTCTCCTTAGTTCAGGATGACATACAAACCTCATTTTGCCTGACTTTGGAGTTTCCATGTCTGTGTGGATTCCCTGTATGTATGCTGTTAACTTTTATTTTCTCCTGTTTATCTGTCTCATGTCAATTTGATTCCTAGTCCCGCTAGAAGGACCTTGAAGGGAACAGGGGTTCTTGCTCCCTGAAAAGAGACAAAGAATTCTTGCTCCTTAACAGGCTTCTTTCCTCCACCAGACTGGCTCCATAGGAATTATAATCTCTCCTTTCTTGGTTAAAAACAAAAAAATTTATTCTGACAATGTAGTTCATGGGCACATGTTAAAGTTTATTAAACTTGTTGCAAGAGCAAAGACCTCTAGCAAGCCAATTGAAAGATTTCTCTCAGCAGAAACGTTTATAGAGAAAAGTTTATTTATTTACAACCACTATCGTTGCCCTATATAGTTCCTCTTTTCTAAAAAAGTCCTGTGAAGTGCAGGTCTACCACTCATCTTGATTTGCATCCTAGGAGCAAGGCCAGGACTATTCTGAGCATCTACTGTGTATTGGGCCCAGTACTGGGCACCTGATATACATCAATTCATTTATTCTTCACAACAATACTGACAGCAGCATAGGTTATTTATACCCATTTTACTGATGAAGGCAGTTGAGGTCTCAGAAAAATGAGCAATTTTTTAAAAATTTATTTTTGAGACAGAGATAGAGCACAAGCAGGAGAGGGGCAGAGAGAGAGGGAGACACAGAATCTGAAGCAGGTTCCAGGCTCTGAGCTGTCAGCACAGAGCCCAACATGGAGCTTGAACACACGGACCATGAGATCATGACCTGAGCCAAAGTCCGACACATAACCGACTGAGCCACCCAGGCACCATGAGCAATTTTTTTTTTTTTTTTTTTAAGTAATCTCTGTATCTAACCGGGAGCTTGAACTCACAACCCCAAGATCAGGAGTCACATGCTGTACTGACTGAGCCAGCCAGGCTCTCCAAAGCAGTTTACTTTAATTCTCAGTTTTTTCCACTACATTACAAGTTCTTATACTTCTAACATGCTATTTTTTTTATCATATTGATGAAAACAAATTTTTCTAGAATTTTATTTATTTCTCGATTTGAATACTTTGAAATCTTAAAAGTTTCAGCATCTTATCCAAGGCTGTTTAGGAAGTGGAAGAACCCTGATTCAAGTCCAGGTCTTTTGGGTCTGAAACCTGGATTGTTTTTGCTACACTAGGAAGGAATCAGGCTATTTTGTGTCATGCAAGGTCTTTTTTCCCACCATTTGAAAATGGAAATGCGTGGGGCTCCTGGGTGTCTCAGTTGGTTGAGCGGCCAACTCTTGATTTTGGCTCAGGTCGTGATCTCACAGTTCATGGGATCAAGCCCCGTGTCGGACTCCACACTGACAGTGAAGAGCCTGCCTGAGATTCTCCCTCTTCTCCTTTCTCTGCCCCTCCCTTGGTCCCAAATGTGTTCTCCCTCTCTCTCTCTTTCTCAAAATAAACATTTTTAAAAAAATATTTTTCCCATTAATAAGCAAAGAAGTAGTAAATACAGTAGTAAACATTTGTTTGCAACATTATTAAAATCATTTTTACTGTGACTTTCTTTAAAATAACACTTTTTTGGAGACCCAATTTGCTGCCATGGTTTTGAATTATCTGACATCTTCCCCCAAATTATGGTTCTTGATATTAGAAATGAAGAAAAAGAAACCTGCTCAGTACTGTAGTTTTGCTTTGTTTACATGGATTGCATATCTTTGCTTTTTTTTTTTTCATAATAAAAGTGCTTTCATTTTTAAAAATTATTCCTTTAATCTCCACACCCAACATGGGACTCATACTCACAACCCTGAGACTGAGTCACATACTCTTTCAACCAGCCAGGTGCCCCTCACAATATAGACACTTTTAAAATTAAAAGCAAAAATTACAGTGCTCATATTGCTTACTCCCTAGTTCTGACGAACTGATGAGTTTAACAAGAGATCATTCGTTTCTAATCTTAGCTGTTAAGGAAACACCTGCCACTAAGATAAAACTAGTTGCTCATGGATGAAAGAACAGGTACTTTGTGATGTGCCAGCAACTGTGTCTTCTCCCTCCCTCCCTCTTCCTGGGTCCTCTCCGAATTGCTCTTCAGGACAGATGGGTGCTGTCCCTCTGCCACTCTGTCTATGCCTTTTTTCTTATGGCCCCTACCCTGCCGCGCCAGTGTGTCATTCTCTGAACCTTTTTAGGCACTTGCTGATGGAAGAAACTTGGTCATCTACAAACTCGCCTGAGTAACTTAGAACTCTGCTGTCTACCCTGAGAGCAGTTTCAGTTTCTATTCATTGGGAAATTGCAAAATGGCAAAAAATTAGTGTGAGTCGAATACTTTTAAACAAATTTGTGTTTTCTTCACCACTGCAGCATCCACAATCTTCCAAAAAGTCATAGTTGATAAAGATGTGAAACTTTCTTCAGTCTACAGACAATGCTCAACGCACACACAAATTACAAAACTTCGTAGAGAAATTCTGCAGCCCCAAGGCATTTCAGGAATATTATTACCATCTTTAGAACTAACAACCCAATGCTGCTTCCCATTAAAATCCAGTTTGCAAGCTTTGAATAACAGCCAAGTCATCATCTTCTAAAAAGCAGTCCTGGACTTCCCTACAGTTTATCCTTTTAGCACAAAATAACCACAAGGTGCAGGTATGCCACCACTCCGCCTACCTTCTAGCATCTTGTGAGAGAACAGCCGGGCCAGTCTCACGTCCCTGGGAACTGATGTTAGGTTTAGGTGCAGATGTTCTTAAATGGAAACATACAGCATATATGCCAGAATAGGAAGTAAAATTTTTCCAAGATACCATTCTTCAGAAAAAAGAGTTGCCTTAAGTTTTTGTCTTTGTCCTTTTTGAACAAAGTACTCTTCAGGAAGACAGTATGTCTTGAAAGGGCCTCGAGCAATGGCAGTTTTCTAATAAGGGTTACCTAAAAAATTATGGGGAAAAGGTGAAGACATTCCTGAGGGTACGACCTTGGAGAATAAGCATAGGAGATCATTATTAGTAGGCTTTTTAAAAAGTCACTGGGGGGCGCCTGGGTGGTGCAGTCGGTTAAGCGTCCCACTTCAGCCA